CTAGAGCTCAGATGCATCTTCCTAAGGAAAAAAGCAAGGCTGAGAAGTAAAAATACTGGAACCTCATGACAAGAGCTACAGAAAATTTGAAAGAGATAAAGACCAGAAAAAGTACACTAGTACTCAACACAGAGAAGAAAAGTAGATTCCTAGACTGTTCTTGATTCTATGTACCCTCAAACAAGGAGCTTAGCTTTGGAGAAAGTGAAAGGAAAAAAAATACTCTATATCAAAGGTCCTTAACCTCTTTTGTGTTATGGACCCCTTTGGGAATCTGGTAAAGCCTATGAACCCTTTTCGAAAATGTCTTTAAATACACAATACATGGTATTTGCAATTAAATGAATAAATACATAGTATTACAAAGGAAACCAATAATATTGAAGTAGTTACCAAAATATTTTAAAGGTATGCGGTTCACAAGTGTCACATATTTTCAGACATTTTCAGATGCATTGATGAGTTATGCTGATTTTTTTTCCTCTTCTTTTACTTGTCTATAAAAAATGCTATTTATTACATGGGATGATTCTTTGGGAGAGGGTGGAAGTAGGAAAATGGGGGAAACTATGGTAATGCACAAAAAAAAATTTTAATCATTTGAAAAATAAAAATTAAGTTAAAAAATTACTTCTAACAATCCCTGATCTTAGTGGTCATACCCCTATGCCAGATCTGATAACAGATATACATAGAGAGACAGACAAATAGACAGATCTGACACACCTAAATACCACCTGGGATACAGGGAGCCAACTTTATAGTTCATTGATCCCAAATGCTAGTACATATCCTCCAAAACTGCCTTGTATTTCACTATTTTTTACATGCTTGTATTTACTCACTTTATGTTTATGCTACATCTATTTTTATAAGTATTTGCTGTCTCTTTGCAATTAGAACATAAGCTTCTTAGGAGTAGGGATTGTTTCATTTTTTTGGATTTGTATTCCCAGCACTTCATACGGCAGATGGTCACATTGTCCCTTGGATTGAATGATTCATGCTTAGAGAAAATTTAATACTTCGAAGACTGAGTTATAAGTCACAAGCCAAAACCCAGTACAATCTTATAAAAAGAGGACAGGAGAACAGAGTCAACAGGCCTCACTGTAGGACCTGTTTTTTCCCTGGTGACATTTAGGAAAGGAGGTCATGCTGGAGTCAGCAAAGTTAGGGGCCAGAAATGGTGATGGAAAAAATTAAAACCCGAGACAGAAAAGAGAGGTAATAAGGAAATTGTTTGATACAATAAGCTAGTTCCACAATTCCCATTCTCTCTCCAATATTCTTCCCCACCTTAATGGCATCACATATCTTACACATATGTAAAATTTATGAAATAAATCAAGCATTTGCATAATATAGTATGATTTTTAAAAAGATGATTGCACATGAAGCTGCAAATCTGTTATACACAACTTACTATTCCTTTTAAATATATAATACAGTTATCATGTAAATTTCTTTTTTCTCTCCCCTCCCCCATGGCTACCATTAGACAGAAGTAGGTGTGTATATAATTATTCTATACATACTTCTATTTATCAGTTCTTTCTCTGGATGTAGGTAGCTTACTAATTAATCACTATTTCCCCCCTTAAATCATAGCATGTATTTGGCACAACAAACTCAGTTTTTCAAGTCCAATGGTTTTTTATTTGTTCATTGAAGATAGAGTTTTTAACGCTCACAAAACACAAACCTGAGAGACAGAAATTTTAAAAAAAAACAGGTATATAGAATAAAAGTAATAAGAGTGAGGAGAGAACCAGAATTCAGGAGTGCAAATTACTTTCAAATACCTCATCTTTTACTCCATGACCTTGTTCAAATCCAGCTTCTCAAGGACATCTGTTCTTTCTAACTACTTACAATTGGTTTTTAATTAAAGTTGTTTAGTCATAAACCAGCTCTACTATATTTTTAATATTTCAAGCTATATTTCAGACCATACTGTTTTCAGGTTTTGAAAAATATAATATAATCTGCCTACCTCCATTACAGAGGAAAGGGACTATGTGTGCAGAATATTGTCTATACCATTAGAAGTGGTTCATGTGTTTATAGTTTCGATGAACTGTTCTACCACTACCCTTCCCCATCTTTTTAAAATTTTCATTACAAAAGATGGCTCATTGGGTAGGCGAGGGGGAAGGTATGAAATGTGATATAAAAACAAAAGTCATTAATAAAAAATATCTAAGATAGCTCCTACTGGGACTGGAGCCACCAAATCAAACCAACCACAAACTAGTGCATTCTGAAATCTTGATATTTAATAACATTTAACCTCACACTCTATTTCGTATGTCTCCCCTGCTCCACCCCCACCCTCCAAAAAGAAAAAAGAAAAAAAAAGTTGGTTCCATCAAGGTACTCACAAGTATATAAGATCAGAATGAGAAAGAAAAAAAAATTAAACAGCTAATGCCAAGAGTCAACAGTATTCTTAGTACCTTCAAGGTCGCTAGAACCAATTATATTTGAATATTCAAAACCACAGAAAGAAGTAGAACAGAAGGTGGAAGAATTAAAGCCTCTGTTTTGTGTTGCTAATTTGCCTGGGGGTTGGGGGAACAGGGAGAGTGAAAGGGGCAAATGCCTCAACAAGTATATCACAAAATTAAAAAACAAAATTTCCTTTTTTCATCTACATCAGAAAGTCAAGAAAACGTGAAAGACTAAAAATGTTTTACAGCGTATTATTTATAAGGTTCCAGTTTAGTTAGAAAGGAGTTGATGCTATGCAAAGAATCCAAGCTATTCTTCCATATCCATTGTCCTTTTTTCTGAGAGAATAAAAGATATTAAAATTTGCCTTAATTTTTTCCTAACATGACAGCCACAAAGATAAGGTTATAAATTTAAGGTTGCAAAATCTGAACAGTGAATATATTCTATTATTTTCAATACATATAATTCATAGAATTAAAAATATTCCCACAAACTAATACTTCTCCCTGATACCAGCTGGTATTTTCAAAGGATAATTTATTTTTAATTATATTGGCTAGTTATATTAAATTGATACATCCTTTGAAAAAAATAAGAGTTTTCTGGTTAGACTGTAGTATAATAATTTTCTCAAAAATTATAATCTTAAGTTTAAAAAAATCTTTATTGGAAATTTCAAGATTATTGAAGATCTTTAACTTGGAGGAGGAGAAGAGAAGCTTGCACATTTAACATAATACAACATTCCTTCATGGCCATTATTTCATGGAAGTTCCTAAAATGTAGTTTTTATTAGTTCATGGGAAAATTGCAATACTCAATGAACTTTTAGTTCAAAAAATCCAGAACACACACACACTTGAGGGAAGTCAAGCATATTTATAATTATTCTGAAGAAAAGAGAAGCACAAAGTCCCACATACAAACACCATAAAGACTCTAGAAACTTTAAAATGTCCAATATACACAACGGCAAAAAATATCCATTCTTTCTGATCTCCAACACCCTCCCTACACACACACACACACACACACACACACACACACACACACACACACACACACTTCCTTTTCTAAGATATCCAAGACAATGCCTCAGAAAAATATGACACATAGAAAATTACTTTTGCAGTACATACTTAAAAACATAGACAGAGACAAGTAATTTTCTTTTAAGCAAATGGGAGAGGGAGGTACTTTATTCTTATTTCAATTCAAGAGCATCTATATTCTTGTCTTACCCTACTCAAGCCTTCCACATGCTTCTAAAAAAAAATGGGGAAAAAATTCACCTTCAAGCTAAGGGATCAAAATGTCCAAAGGTTGCTTAGTAACTAAACCTGTGAGGAAAAAGAAATTAATCTAAGACTTGTTTATTTGCCTGCTAAAACTTACAACTTTTTTAAAAACTGCATTTTATGTGGCACAGTCTTCAAAAATTCATTCCAAAGAAAACTACCTTTCATTAGCAAGGCATAAAAACTAGTTGCAAATCCCAAGAGTACCACTGTATAAGACAGTGTTCCAATAAGCCATTTTTGTGCGCATATATATATATATATAATATACATTATATATGTACGTGTGTATATGTGTGTATGTATGTGTGTATACTATTTCATGATATAGTCTAGCACTCGCTGAGAAAACTTTTTTCCCCATCAGTGTTCTTTATCCACAAGCCGACAAGAATCATCCTGAAAACTTATTTAGGGACAGGCTCAATGCAAAGTGTAGAACTAAAGGCACAAAGAGGAAAATTTCAAGGAGCTCACACTTCCTTAAAAAAGGAAATTAGGGAATGGAAGACTACAAGAAGATGGTGCCTTTTAGGGCACAGGGAAAACAGAGAACCCCTATGCTGTACTGTAAGTCCAGGAATATGGTGGTAGTCCTCATCAATGGAATTAAAGATGCTCTGCTAAATCTCATCAGCAAGCTTACTGCATTATATTTATTCATCCATTCTGTCTCTTCTTCAACTCCCTTTCTCATTTCTATCCCATGCCCCACTCCCTTCCACCCAGACACATAGACATAGATAAACCTGGTTCGCTTGGTGTTTACAGCGTCTTAGTCATATATGAACAAAAGGAATGTAACTTTTCCCATTTCCTCCCTTTTGGTTTAGTGCAGAGATTCCAACAGACCATTACATCCTCTGGATTGTGCCCTAGATAGGATCTAGGGAGACAACTGATCCTGGTACAGTCCGCATGGATCTGGACACCTGATATAGTGATGGATAAACTGCCACCTATTTCACTCTGCACCTTAAGAATAATTTAAAGAATAGAAAGAGAGACTTGCAGGGGAAGAGGGGACTAAAACAGAGTATTGAACTGTTAAAAGTTCTACCCGCTAACTACCCACTTCTAAACCGATTGTCTCCCACCATCTAGCAAAAATGAAGAGAGGGAAGGGTCGTTAAGAATAAAGTGGTCTCGATTTGGCAATTTGGGTTTTTAAACTCCACCCTTGAGCCCTCTATAAAGCCACCAAATCATGGAGGGGAGTAAAAAGAGGGGGGGAAATGCACTCACCTCCACCCATCTCTGAGCTTCAGCGAATGCTACATCACAGTTGGACTCCGCATCCTCTCTCCCTTCCATGACTAGAGGAAGAGGGGAGGGAAAAAAGAAAGAGAAAGAAATGGGTGGGTGGGCGAGGAGGGGCGGGATGGGGGGGGGTGTCAGCAAAACTTAAAAAGGCTGCTCCGGGGCTGGGACTGGGGACCAAGAGGCAGCGCCGGTTGTCACTCCGCTCTGCCTTTTAATGCTCCCGGTCCCCTGTTCCCTTTGTTGCTCTCTGGAGTTTGTTAATGCCCCGAAACCACAAGAATTTGAAGAAGCTGCTTTCTATAAAGCCCTGAAAACGAACCAGGGTCCGCAGGGACCAGGGCAGTCAAAGAGGAGGAGAAAGATGGGACGGGAGGGGGGCCCTGCGGGGGAGGAGGAAGGGGAGAAGGGGGAGGAGAGAGACAGAGGGGTTGTAAACAGCCCCGAGAACTGTTTGAACTTCAAAAGCTCCCCTCCTCTGCGCTCCCGTTCCCTCCCCCGGAATCACCGCAGTTTCCCTGGCCGAGGCGGGGTGGCTGTGGCGTCTATAGCCCCGTCGCAGCTGCTTTCAAGCCCGGGGCCATGTGGAGCAGCCGCTTCCGCCCGCCCGCCGCCTCCTCCTTGGGTTGTTCCCTAGGCATTTGGCCGTGCCAACCCTTGTGGTTTAGACTGTCTGAGCCATGGGATGCCAAATCCCCGTCGGAAGGCAAGCCCCTGGTGGAAGCGCAGCCCTTCACACCGGGGAGCCTGAGCCTTGGCAGCGCAGGGGAAGGCGATGCTCTGGGGAGCCGGAGTAACAGCCTTAGGAGCTCAACTCAGCCCTCCATGTCCTGTACTGTCCTGTCCCGTTCTGCCCCGTCCAGTCCGTCCTCTCCTCCCGCGTTCTCTCTTCCCTATCCCTCCCCGAGAGGAGCTTCATTCCCTTCCCGGATCCCCTGGAAACGGAGCCTTCTGAGCTCACGGCTGCAGGGCCAGTGCCTGACATACCAGGAATAGCTCAACACAATTGCATCCTTCCCAGCCAAGAAACTTCCCCCTCTTGGGTGCCCTGGCCGCGGAAACGCAGCCGCCCTGCTGAGAGCAGCCTAGCCAGGAGCCGCTCCAGGACTCGGGGCTAGGATCCGCTCTCCTGGCCCTCTCTACTAGCTGGGCTCCCAAGCCAGCCCCTTCTACCTGTGACCTGGGATCCTGCACTCCAGCCTTGGGCTACTCTTCTCGCACCCTCTCCGAGCCTCCTGGAAGCTGTGAGAGGAGCTCTTCGCCCTCCCACCAGGTGCTCTACCCCCGCCCCGCCCCCAACCCCAGTTCCAGCCCCAGCCCCAACTCTCTCTCTCCTCCCCCCGAGACTCCCTCTCTGCTAGGGGACTCCTGGCGGCAGGTGAGGGTAGCGTTCTTCAGGATTGGAACCCAAACTACCCCCCCTCACCAAAGGGCCCCTCCTCCTCCCCTTCTCGTTCCTTTCCCTCCTTTCTCTTTCACCTTTCCTACAGGTGGGCGAGGATCACTGGCAGCTCGCACCCGCAACCCACTCACTTTCTGTGCAACCAGATAACTTTACGACTGAGAAGCTGGAGAAAGAAACCCACTCTTTTCGCTTTTCCCCTCCCCTCCAGTGTGTTGTTTCCCCAGAGCAATGAGGAACGTCTTTAAGGTCAGCTCCGGCACACACTAGGATTGATCGATATTTGCCAGGTGGAGAGATTGGTCTCTGTTGTTTACCTGCGCGTCATTGGGCATTTCCGTTTGTTATGGGAGGGAAAGTCTGCTCAGGCCGCATCCTGTGAGCCCTGTTCCAAAAGGAGCTATGGAGATAACTGTTTGAGAAACAGCATGAATCTTTTGTCAAAACTGCCTGAGACACCTTTGAATTCCTTCAGCGAATACCCTTCCTGCCTCGTCAAGCCCCTTGCTTCAAGATCTTTCCTTTCTATGACTTAACCTCCGGAAGAAGACTGGCCAATGCTTGTTCACCTGTAAAGGGGGCAGGCCCTTAGTTCCCTCTATAAAAAAAGAATCACCACCCTATGAGATTAAGCATTTAGGTGACTTGAAATTGAGTTCTAGGCAGTAATGTTCTTTGGCCCTCCTTAAGTGAATCTCTGTAATCCTATCCAACATGCCTATTTCATACCTTTTGCTCACATCTAGAGTAAAATGATTCAGGCTAAAATTCAGGTAGGTCATGAGACACCAGCCTTCTCCTGCCAAGTACATCTGCTCACAACAATATCCACAAAGGGAAGAATGAAAAAAATCCTTCATCAGGGATCTACTCAATGTAGTAGAGGTCTTCCTCTAGGTCTTTTAATATTTCTTGAATATCAGTGAAGCAATCAGTCTATACACTTACTCTTTCCCCTCTCCTTGGCCACAAGAATGGTCTTCTGATCCATTACAGTCATACATATTCTCAAGGATGTTCACACCATTTGCACTCAAGTCAAGGTTGACAAAATGCAGGGTGTAACTTGATTTACCCCAACATGGGTCTCTTTGAGTTGTCCAAAATTTTGATTCTTCGGACATGGAGGTGTTCGTGGTACACTATCATATAGCATCATTGAAAGAATACTGGTATTGGAAAGATAAGCTTTTAGCACATAATTTCTGAAAGACAATCCAGTCTACTCTCTACCTCCAACTAAAATTGGTCCAAAACTTTCCCAGCTCCAATGCCTATCCAAGATAAATGTAACAGGGAGGTTAGGAATCTATGCCTTGTTGACCACCTCAGTTCTATGCCTCTTGTCAGTCCTGATCATGATGCCGAAAAGTCAGAGAACCAAGGTGAGTCAAGGGTATGTGGCATACTACTCAGTAATGAGACACTTAAATATCAAAAGGAAAAGCACTGATCATAGGAGCTTTTGTCTTCTTATGAGTCTGTGACTGGTACTGAAAGGAGAAGCCAACACCCAGATCTGAAGATCCTAAGTAAAAAATAAAGTTTTTAATATTTCATGTAGCATCTCTACTGAGATTTAAGTTAAACATCAGTTCAATTAATGGAATCGGTTGAGAACCATATTCCAGCATTTCTTTGCCAATTCAAAAGCGTGTTCAGTATGGGAGGGGGCTAAACCAATTGAAATATCTCTTTCTTAGAACTTCTGGGTTCAGAGTGGCCTATGGCCTGGAAGAAAGCCAGCATCTAGGAGATGCAGGCAAATAGTCATGAATTAGAAGTTATACTGTAGGTTGTTTATTCCTTGGAATTCTACAAAAAAAAAAAGAGTAAAACTATATTTAGTATTAAATTTTCCTGTCTATTTCTCTAGGGAGCTGACCCCAAGATCACATGACTAGAGTTTGTAGAATTAAAAAATTCAACATTTGCCTGTAGAGGGGGGCTCTGACCTAATTCTGGTTAGGTCAATCCACACTAACTACACTCCTTAGATTAAACAGACAGTGTAGCCGTGAAAAGAGAGACAGAGATGGCAGATAGAAGGCCATGGACTTTTTCTGCCTCCCTAGTACTTGCCAACAGCAGGATGGAATGCATAATCACCCCCACCAAGTTTGAGACTTGCCCAGTATCTGATCCATCTAGATCAGATATTCTTAACCATTTTTGCATATCAAACTTTTCTGGATACATACTTGAGCTGGAAGGTTTCCAGTATTGACACTCAGTCCCCATCTAGTGTGCCTCCCATTAAGAATTAGACAATTAGCTTTTAGCAAAGGGTATTTATCAAATTAGAATACTAGGCACAAAAGCATTTCCCCTAAAATATAGGGGCATTCTCTCACTAGTGCACATAAGTTCATAGGAAAAGCAAACTGAAACTTAGAGATCTCATGTAGCCAAAAGGTAAAATCACAGTTCTTGGATATTGGAAATCCTTTTGTCACTTTAAAGAATCTTCATGAAGTTTTTACTAGCTATAGTTCTTTGCTGGGCTCCAAGGGTCAGTGCCTTTGTGGAGTCCTGAAACTGCCTTTCCTTGGTGATTCTAGCTCGTCTTTAGGGTGTCCATCTGTTCTCCATGAAGCTGATGGAGAGGTGAGAAGAGGCAATGTTTCAGCTCTAGTGGACATTGCTACCAACACTAATGAAGTAGAAGAGAAAGAGAAAAACTCAATCTTCCCCAAAAGGAACGTCTCTAAACTACCAACCATTCAGTTGACTACTCTTGGAATCTCCTTCTGGAATGCTCAATCTTGAACTGGCTTGATGTAATATACCTAGTCCCAGAAGAATGTCTGATTTTTCAATAAGTTTCCTATACGGCATTCATCTGATTTCATCTAGTGAACGAGGTACTTCACTCCTTCTAAATTGATTAAGGACGTATTCATACCTAGTTTACATTTTTGATTACTTCAGTTGAGAAGTATGGTCAATGTGTGTTTAATTGGGGTAGCATGTATGTCTGTGTGCATAAAGACATCCACATTCAATAGTTTGCCAATTCAGTTGAATATCTTGATCAGGGCTAAATGTATCAGTCCTAGAATAATGCAGGGCCTTCTCAGTGAGATGCAGGGCTACTCAAAGAAAAAACAGGCCTAAAAGACGATAGCAAAATATTGTTGATGAAGCTATAAATTGACCCAACTGTTCCATAGATAAATTTGGAATCATGCAAGAAAGATGACTTAAGTATCTGTACTGTTTGATCCAGTAACTATACCACAGAATATCTCAAAGAAATCAAAGACAGAAATAGAGGTCTAATATATATCAAGATAATCATAGTGACACTCTCTGTGATTGCAAATAATTGGAAACAAAATAGGTGCCCATTGATTTGGAAATGGTAAAAAAAATACGTTTTATAAATATAATGGAATATTATTATGTGTTTAAGAAATTATTAATAGGAGTTCAGAGAAATCTGGGGAGATTTGTATAAACAGATGCAGAGTAAAAGAAATAGAACAAAAATACAGTGACTACAAAAATGTAAATTAGAAGATCATTAAAAAGAAGTTGAACTTTGGGTATTTAACTGCCTCTTAGAATAATCAGATTGGCGCTAGGTGTCAAAGTGAATAGAACACTGGGCCTGAAATCAGGAAGACTTGAGTTCAAATATGGCCTCAAACACTTATTTACTAGCTATGTGACCCCAGGAAAGCCATTTAAACTTGCCTGCTTCAGTTTCCTCAACTGTAAAATGGGGAAAATAGCACCTACTTCCTAGGGTTATTGTGAGGATCAAATGATATAATATTTAGCACAGTGATGATAATCTTAGCACAGTGCCTGGCATGCAGTAGTCACTTTATAAATGCTGATTCTATGCCTTTCCCATTCCTTATTGAAAAACAAAAGAAAGTCCTAGACAACAGACAATAAAATATACCTCTCTCCTCACGGAACAGAGTTAGGGAATTCCTAGGGGAAAATATTATAGAGGAAAGGATTTTTCACATAAATAATTATGATATGAAAACAAAAGACATCAATAAAATGTAAAATATTTTGACAATAGATTGCCTTAGAAATCCTCATATGAAAAACCAAGTAGATTAAGACATAACGCAATAAGATCTTCAAGGCAGTGACACAAGTATGAAACTTGCCTTAACCATACTCTTTTATTCACCTACTTAAGCCATTTACTCTCCTTGAAATCCAAAATTGGTATGAGATGTGCATTTACAAATCAAAAGTCACAAATCTAGCATATTGCCCTGGTTCTTAGGAGTGTCATCTCAAAAAAGAAGTAAGTGACTTTAGTAAGGCAAAAGAAAAATCTTGAAAGTCTTAGACTTTCAACACCTCATGGGGAGTAACTAGGGTGTATCCCTGACTACAGCCCCTCATCTTAGAGGTACCTCTCATTCCAAAATTCTGTTTTACTGCATTTACAAAACACCTTTTCTTAATTAATAGTAAGAACTACTTTGGGAAAGAATGCAAAAACACATCAAGTATAATAACAAAGTTCTGATCATCTCATCCCTGACCACAAAAACATACACCCCAGTTATCATAATTAAAGGAGTAGGTTACTACCAGCCCTGACACAGTGAAGTTCAAGTAGGAGGGCTCAACCTTATATTTGGGAATGGAAGCCAGAGCTGAAGTCACAGAATAACTAGAGGACAATTGGAGGATTGGGGGAGAGGGAAGGGGTGAGGATGGGAAGACATTAAAAGGGGAAAAATATGAAAGTCTTGTTATGTTATTTCTCCAACAGGTAAGAAAATACAGAGAAAGATCATGCATTGCAGTGGTAAGAGAATGCAACCTTCTCACTAAATTCAGGGAGATTTGGGGAGGGTGTTTGTGTGTGTGTGT